TATTTTGGCTTCTTTATTACATTGAACATATAATGTCTTAAAAATAATTATAATTTTCCAAAGTATTTATATCTTTCATCCGCACTATATACAGATGATTTTTGCAGGAAAATTTAAGGTTCGTTCTGTATGAGTTGGATGCTGTCAAGGAGGACACAAAAAGAAGCGTGACTGAACATGTATGAAGTAATGGCAGTGTTTAATTTTTGTTTTAAATTTTAGTTTTAAGGGAGGCTGTTATGGATAAAGACTTAGTACAAAAATATTCAAGCTATTTTTGAAAGCAGTTTAAGATTGCAAACTCTTGCGCGAGAGTAGAAATGAAAACATTTAAAATAAATATTTTCTCAATCTTACTCAAGACAAACGAGAAACGTTCTACACACACATACCTACTACGAATGGAAGATGGTAGATCCCCCAAAATAGTCTACCAGGGCTACCAAAATAGTGACGGAGAGGGGACATCCAAGCCGACGAAGTGTGAAGCCCGAGCAGGTCTGGCCTAATCTGCGAAAGGAAGTGGTGTAGACGACAAACGATACTGATGTTTGATTATTGCTTTACGGAGTGATCTATTAAAATTAAAGTTTTAAATAATCTTGGACAATTAACGTTATGAACTAGTTGTTAGTATTCAATGGCATAGGAAACGAACATATTTCAAGAATGCTACTTAATTTTTTTTTTATTTTCTACAATGTAACGTTCCCATGCGTCTACCTTATGCAGTTGCTTTGAAATTAGAACGAGAAATTGTGTATGCGTATAATCTAATTATATAACTAGTTATAAGTTGTGAACACATTGCTTAACATTATTAGTACTTTTTTATTTAAGTGATTAAACCTCCCAATGTTTAAGTTGTTCAGAACAATATTTGTTGATATTGTCTGAATAAACATTTTCTTCAAGAAATGATTAGTTTATAAACTAGAAAAATAAAATTTGAATCAAACTGCGAAGTCTCAATTCGGCATCGAGTATCTGATAGTACTTCTAGTTACGTGATGTTCTGTCATGTTCGATCTCCCCCGTGTTCGTTGCCAGGGCCTGCGGGTAACAAACAGTGTGGTTGGCAGCAAACAGCGGGAGGATTCTCCCTCTACTGGCAGCGGTGGTGGAGAGAGAGGTGAAGTGTGCGGACAGAGGGCGCGCGACTTGTAGACACTAGTCTTGCGCGTTTCGGAGAAGAGGGACAGACGCGAAAAGAAAACTACATCATGATAGGTCCCAGGAAAGTGGTTGAAACGTTGCGAAAGGAGGCGGGCTTTCGTCAAAATAACTTGGGTAATTGATTCCAATATAATAGAAAAATATTCATTTTGTGCAATTTTGGTCAGAGAAGCATTTTGAATCCTGTGCTAAATCTTATGCCAAGGCGTGAACTCTTGAGGGAGATAAATTTTTGTGGATAGAGTATCCGAGATGGAAAGTAAAACACTGTATCACGAAATCGAAGGTCTGACTCATTGCATCACTCGGTAACTCAGACCGTGAGTGACTGAGTATGGTATCCTGACGCTCTAGGGCGGCTGAACCTCCGCAGCCCACGTGAGCTTCACATCAGAAAGCATTTGATATCCAGCGGGCCTTTTAAGCCTTTTCGGCTCTCTTCCGCACATCCCTCAGCACAGATGCTCCGTCAGACTGACATGCAACACCCTCTCTTCCCCATTAAGCCTTGGTAGAGCCACTCCGCCATCTCAGGCCTATTAGACTATCAACGGAGTCGAATTAAGCGCTTAGCGCTTCTCGCGATGCGCCATATCTGCTCAGTTACCCATGGGTAGCGGGCACTATCACGACGCAGCCAACAGCCCAACCAGGGACCACCGGGGCCGAAATCGGGCCGGCTCGGAGCTCCCAAACCGTCTTCTCTCAGCGCACTCAGTTAATGCCATCTAAACCCTCCACAGAGCACTGACTAAACCTTCTACCACGATGGAAGCAAAATTTCCCCTTAATGGGCCAGCGTTAACAGTGATCTCTATAAATATAGAGGGGGGTGTCGCCTATAAAAGCAGATCTGCTCGCAGATGTGCTCCTGCGGTGCTGAAGAGACAATGGAACTTCTACTTTCCTGCCGGGACTGCCCTAATGGTGAATCCAGAGATGACCTGGACTTGGATACCAGAAATCCTTGGCTCTATTTACTAGCCTGCAAAACAGAATTTATATGTAGTCGAGTTGAAAGAAGAAGAAGAAGAAGAAGAAGAAGAAGAAGAAGAAGAAGAAGAAGAAGAAGAAGAAGAGAGATCAGTCTCAAATGATAAAATCGCCAACGACAGGCGAATATTTGTTCGCGGCAATGATGTAACAGTTAGCGTATCGGTCTATTGTACCCAAGTTGGCTGGTTCGAACCCGATCGAAGCCGTGGATTTTTAAGGGCAAAAAAAATCCTACGTACGCCTTCCTTCGGAGAGGTGGTAAAGCCGGCTGTCCCATGTTAGTAAATTTACTTGCATGTAAAAGATCCTCAAGTCTAAATGACGCCTCTGAGCTAAATTCAAATCGCCTGTTTCTCGCCCAAGAAATACCTCCTTTCTCTGCTAGTTGGTGAAAGGAGCGTAGCGAAATTTGCGTGGTCAGACGGAAGAGCAGGCCTCATGGCCTGTGTCTCGCCACGTAAAATAACATTAATTCAAGTCAATAGCTGGGAGAGTTCAATTGAATTCAATAGGGGAGCCCAGTGAAGACAGTGGCAGTGAGGTGAGGATGTTGTCGGGAGCAGGCTGCTGGCCTGTCGCCCTCTGTTTGAGGTTGGCCCGGGCGCCGGCCGCCGGCCGGCCGACGCGGTCAGACGGGGCTAAAAAAGACAGGCGGCCTGAGCCTGGTAATCCGGCGCGACGCTGTTCAAACAAGCTTCTTCCCCAAGGGGCGCCACTTGCAGCGGGTGGCTGGTGGCCGGTGCGGTGGCGGTGGCGCTGGCGATGTGGTTGGGGCCAGGGATGAGGCCTGCGCTGGGGAGAGAAGTAGACAACACATTTTTTTCCTCGAGCTGCGACACATAATGCGGGGTATTGAACAGATAGTCACGTTAAAAAGAAGCAAAAAAAAAAGAAAAAGAAAAAGAAAAAAGGACAACACAAACTTGTAAAAATGTGTTTATTAGGAGCATAGTGCAAAACATATGTGAGGTAAGATAATGTCATCGAAAGGAGCAAGAAGCAGAAAAGAGGATTACGAAAAGAAAGAAGTTTAAGTGAACTAACAAATAATCTTGTTTTACCTGATACAAAATGTATGTTAATCATTTTAATCGGAATAACACTAAGCAGAGCACAGTTTCGATTTTAATGATCGGATTTCAAACTTAAACCGAAACTCGTGCTTGATTTATCGATCGCCATGATTTATGTAATGGATTGTTCTTAAGTTTCGGTCATTACAAAAATATAATTTAAATTGCCGACGTTTCGACTTTTATTAAGCCTTTATCACAGCTAAAAACCAAGGGCTTCTTTATAAATTCATCAAATAGGGAAAAATATTTTTTCCATTTATTTCCTTCCTGTTTTATATTTGTCTTTTGCGGAGAGGGAGGGATCAAGGATGCATGCTACAATGAATTTATTTGGACTTATCCTGAGGAAACTCAAGAAAATTCCATTACTTCAAGCAAAAGTTATTTTGTACTTAGTTTAAAATCATTTCTTTCATGTAATAATCAATTTCAGTAGTGTTGGAAAAAACTTTTCTTTGTGTTGCGTACAGAGTGTTTATTAATACAAAAGGATGACGAGGTACCCTTGTCTTTATCAGCTCGTACATGTCATTGCATGTTGTATTCTGTGTAGAAAGTATATATTTTATAACTCATCTTCTAGTTTACTGTCAGTGTGATTTTGTGAATTTCTGTTTGCATAACTCTACTCTTTTCCAAGTGACAAAACAAATTCTAAAAATCAAATAAGGTAGTCGAGGAAAAATAGAGAAAATATTATTTATGCATGTTAAATATCAACAATAAGATTGCCAGCATTCTCATTGTCCACTGAGATAATTGGTTTCATCTTCACGAGATGGCTTACCAAAACGTAGTAAATCAAACAAATTAATGTAAAAACGTGCGATCTGTTGTATTTATAGACTTTTTTATTTATTTACTTCCCGTTCTACATTTGTCTTTCACGGAGGGAGGCAGGTTCAAGGACCCATGCTTTTTTACATTTATTTCAACTTATCCTTAGTAACTTGCGGGTTTCAGTATAATCCACCATATTTTTAAAAAAAAATAGGTTACAGAAATTGCACAACATTGTGAACTGACTTAACATTGTTTCGTTTCAATAATCGTTATTGATTCTATGACAATGAAATTAATTATGATTATAATAACTGAAGTTACCTAGATACGTCTATTGTTCATCAGATACTCTTGGACACCACATTATTTTACATTCAGCACAATAAACATGAAGTTCTGCCACGAAAAAGAAGTATCACTTCTGCTATATCCTTTTGGTATCGCGAGATTTCCGCACCCGCTGGTGCGCTCGGTGTCCACGAGTGTCCCGTATGGCGCTGCAGTAGCGCTCGACGCGACGGCGACGTGGCGGCGCGGTGGGGGCGGTGGCGGGCGGCTGGGGCGGGGAACGAGGTGTGTGCCTGCCCCAGTTTCCCCTCCCGCACCCCGCCCCCGCTCCCGCCCGCGGCAGCTGCTCTATCTCTCTCTCTCATCTCACTCTCTCTCTGTCTCGATCTAATGCTTTTCGGATGTGTGTGTGTTGAAGGTTGCCTGACCCGCACCAGCCCGTCATTGACGCGCTGCTTGGGATCCGCAAGGCACCAACTCGTCCCCGAGCAGCGGCTGTCGTGCTAGCCGCGCCCCACGCCGACAACCGCCCGTCGCCGCCAGGTAGAGGGAGCCATGCGGATCGGCCGCAGCAGCCCCTCCCGCGTCGTCTAGGACGCCGCCACCGTCACCGCCCTCGCCTTCGTCGCTCCAGCAGCGCGGCAGTTTCCCAGCAACAGCGGTCACAAACACTCGGTCAACATGACGACCATCCCCATCATCAACATGGAGTTCGGCGAACTCAAGACGGCCATCTGGAACAAGGTGCAGGAACCCAAGTCGCAACGCAAGCTGATCCTGGTGATCGTGTCCATCGCGTTGCTCCTGGACAACATGTTGTACATGGTGATCGTGCCCATCATCCCGGACTACCTGCGGTACGTGGGCGCGTGGGGCCACCACCCGGACCCGACGGTGCCGCCCGGCAGCAACGCCACCCTGCCGCCCACCGCCAAGCCCGACCACCACGGCCAAGACTCGGCCACGGGCGTGCTGTTCGCGTCCAAGGCCATCGTGCAGCTGATGGTGAACCCGTTCTCGGGCGCGCTCATCGACCGCATCGGCTACGACGTGCCCATGATGATCGGGCTCGTCATCATGTTCCTGTCGACGGCCATCTTCGCCTGCGGGCGCTCCTACGGGCTGCTGTTCTTCGCGCGCAGCCTGCAAGGGGTGGGGTCCGCCTTCGCCGACACCTCGGGCCTCGCCATGATCGCCGACCGCTTCACGGAGGAAAACGAGCGCTCCAAAGCCTTGGGCATAGCGCTGGCCTTCATCAGCTTCGGCTGCCTGGTGGCGCCGCCGTTCGGCGGGGCGCTGTACCAGTTCGCAGGCAAAGAAGTGCCGTTCCTCATCCTGGCGTTCGTGTCGCTGGCGGACGGCTTCATGTTGCTCTTGGTGATGAAACCTGTGCGGGAGCAGATCAAGCACCACGTGGCGAACCGGGTTCAAGGAGTCCCTATCTGGCGTCTGCTGCTCGACCCTTACATTGCGGTTTGCGCCGGAGCCCTCATGATGTCTAACGTAGCGTTGGCCTTCTTGGAACCGACCATCTCGCTTTGGATGGAAGACAACATCACCTCGGAAAACTGGCAGATCGGGATGATTTGGTTACCTGCCTTCTTCCCGCACGTGTTCGGTGTCATTCTTACCGTCAAAATGGCCAGACAGTACCCCCAGTGGCAATGGTTAATGGCTGCTGGCGGTTTGGCGTTGGAAGGGCTGTGTTGTTTTATCATACCGTTCTCCAACTCATACAAGATTCTTATGATTCCTATTTGTGGAATCTGTTTCGGGATTGCTCTTATTGATACCGCGCTGTTGCCTATGCTGGGATATTTAGTAGACGTTCGCTACGTATCAGTGTACGGAAGTATCTACGCTATCGCCGACATATCGTACAGCGTTGCTTACGCAGTGGGACCCATTATTGCCGGTGGTGTGGTAGAAGCCATCGGATTTACAGCGTTGAACATTGGAATAGCGTTTTCCAACCTTTTGTATGCTCCCGTACTCATGTACCTGCGACACATCTACGACTTCAAGCCCTTGGAGAACGAAGCCAACATCCTCATGTCGGACCCACCCGACAAGGAGTACCAAACGTACACGATGCACGACCAGAAACCGGTCGTGGGCGACTTCAAGAACCACCTGGAATACTCGCGCTTCCAAGAAGACGGGCCGACGCCCGCGTACTACCCGGACAGCCAGGGCATGATCCAAGAGACGAACGTGGACAAGCCCGGGGCCGTCAACGGGTCGGTGGGCAGCTACTTCGCCGGGCAGCCTCAGCAGGCGGGCCCGCCCGCCCAACAACCTCCTCATCCTCCTCCTCCCCAGCAGCAGTACCAGGCGCGACAGGAGGAGGCCCACATCAGCGGCGGCGGCGGCTACCAAGTCCAGTACCAGGCGCACTACACGGCGCAGCCGGCCGCCCAGCCGGCGCAGCAGGGCTTCCAACAGCCCCCGGCGCAGCCGCAGGCCTACCAACGGCCCGCGGTCCAGCAGCAGCAGCAGGCGGCGGCCGCCGCGGCCCAGCAGCAGGCGGCGGCGCAGCACGGCCAGGCGCCCAGGGATACCAACCCCTTCCGCGCGGCCCCGGCGCCCGCCCCGGAGCCTCCGGTCGACCGCAACCCCTTCCGGCAAGGCTTCGGCTATTAGGAAGCCCGCCTCGGCGCGCCGCCGCCAGAGCGTAGTCCTTTTATTTCTTTGACTGCAGAGCAACAGACTTGTACATGTTTTGAGTATTATATCATATTTGTAGATACCATATCTCTTTTGACCTTTATCATTGTAAGTATGTACATATCACACATAGATCACGTATTGTAAATTTCCTTGTTTTTATGCGAGATCGTTTCCTATGTCTCATGGAAGTTGTGATGCATGCTAAATCATCATTATTGTTACTATTGGTGTATCATTTTAAATTTTAGGTATATCGTATTCATAAAAAATAAATTTATTTTTATGAGATCGAACCAGTTATGTAGATGTTGTACTTTAGACCATTAAGAAACAAATATATCTAAACTAAGCACACGTTCTACGACCAGTTAATAGCATATCAGCCAACTAGCGTCACGTCTTTGTAACCATAGTGTGTTTACTTTATATAAGTTTATATATAATGGACATTTTGTTGTATATTTTTTATGATAAACAACCAAGAACAAAACATATCAAATGAACACATAAGACATGTGATAAGGGAGTCTCTCCCGTGTAGGTTCTATTAGAGTAGTTCATGTTCAAATAAGTGTATCTTCGACTCCAGTGTGTAGGTGTCAGCGAGTAGACTGTTCTCGCAGGCGTGAAAGCATTCGTTGACTGGCGGCTTTTGACCCAGAAATTCGGCGGTGTCCGAAAGGGTACCACAACGCGTCGTTCTGACGTTTGTTCAGTTTGCGAATTGTAAATATTCCCTCTCATTATTTTCAAAGAGTTTCCATTCTTACATTTATTTTCTTGTTTTGCGCCTCTTACTAGAGCTTGGAAATGTATTCGTAAATTGGGTAGAGTCGTAGCGTATTAGCTACACCGTTGCCAGAATTGTATCTTTGGAGATCTTTTACTGTACACATATGCTTATTGTCTGTGATGATCGTGCGACCAAGATTCACTCCGGATCAGAAGCCGCTTTTGTTGATAAGATATAAGAAATGAAACCCTATTGGTTTCAAATTTGTTGGTGTCTGTTTTTGTACATAGTTGCTGCATTCGGACCAACTTACCCATCAGCGTATCATATCTCCTCGTGGTGCAAATCCCCCAGAACTCGTGTTCTCCAAAAAATTTCGGTTTGAGATATCAGAATATTTGTTTTCGTCTCATGAAACCCTATTTTTCAAACAGTAAATACACGCATAAATGTATTATATCGTTATTCAGAATGTCTTCACGTCATTGCAGAAATAAATGTTCTGATACCAGAAGAAATTGCTCAGCTGTGTAATATAGGAAAGAAACAAAACGTATGTAAAAATTATACTTCATCCATTGTAATCTTAACAATGTACACTGTCATATATATGTTACTTTCAAAGCAATAATAGTGCGTGTATGATAAAGGAGACACAAATGTACACTGTTCCATTCCTTCCGATTAAATTAATTTCCTACTCTTCACTCCAGATTCTATGTTTTTCTCCAATCATTTGGTGAAAATAATAAAATCAAGTGAATAAGTGGAACAGAGAATGATTGCCCGTATGAATGAACAGATCTTGTCAAGTAATTAGGCTTCAATATTCTGAAACTAGCGACCAAAGTTTCTCTCCTATGCCAGAGCAAATGAAGTGGTTTGAATCATAGACTTTTGTTTCTTTATCGCTCGCTCGAATGCTTTGAACTATAAATGTACTGTGTGGTTGAATGCTTAGATTAGCATTTTAGAACATGTATTTCACATAACATTGTTTCACTTTTGGAATATATATGTAGGGTTGGATGGCCTTCGTAAACAAATTTTGGAACTAACAATTCCAAATATACGCGACAATTTTCCTGTCGCCTGTTCAAGTAGAGTCCATACATAACTGTTGTCGTCCTCTTTAGGCTGTTTTCTTTTATAAAGGTTTGGGTGTGTTGTAAATAACTGTAGCCGCCTTTGTTATGAAATGCAGAAGCAATAAACTGTAGTCGTCCCACTGTGGGTAGCTAGATTCCCTGCTCTCCTACCCTACATCGAACACAGCAAAGTTAGGCAGGCTGACCCACTTAAACTGAACAGTCATGATGCAAAACACCATTTACCAGTTCCGCAATGACTGAAAGTAACAAATGCACTTTGACATATGTCAAGTACGGATACCAAAGGAACGATACGTTTGTGTCCTATGTTTGAAGAATCACTATGTTTTGCATGCTCACGGATCATATCAAGTAAAAGATTTGATGTATTGAACATATCAAAGTGAAAAATAGATATAGAATTATTTACAAAGGAAGATAATTGGTACTGCCGAGAAAAATAAGATTTTCCGGAACGTGCCATGTATATTATTCGTTACATTTTTAACATGTAGTTTCTTGAGAACCCTTTTCCTGTGAAAATACGACATACTCATTGTACTAATGTTATGTCTTATGTGCTAGTAATGTGACCTGTTCCAAGGAACCTGCTGAAATACTCACTCGTGGTATCTAATTACTGCAAACGTCATGAAACTGTGCATCGTTTCATTCTGTCAGATTAAAGAACAAAGTAGTTTCTGAGAGAATTATCAACACACTCTACATTAAAGACACAAAAGCGTCAACTAACCGTAAAAAGTTAAATCATGTTGTGCAGTTCTATTAAATGTTTTCGTTCTATTCGTTCCTAAATATGTCTCATTGTATAATCAACTGGTGTCAAAAGTATTGGAATTTGTTATATTCCTAAAAACATTTGATTAAAAAATATAAAAAAATTGATGCAGGTGTCCTTGTGAGTTATCACGGCCGCTTATGTAACTATTCATATTTGAACGAGCGTAAAAGCCTACAACTCGAGGACAGCGCACCGTATTCCAACATGTCCAACATCCCAAGCGTTGTGTAAGCACCAACCATCGTACAAGTATCGAAACATTGTGACCCAGGTGTTGTCGTTGTAATGTAAATTTATTTGCGTATTTAACGTTCCATGTTTAAAGAACGACGTAAATTATTTGTTTTGTCTGATATTATCAACCGTTAAAATGTATGCATGTGCATTTCTTTTTGTGAGATGTGTAGAGAAATTTGTAACTGTGTTATATGGTTTTCTTGTTTGAATGTTTAAAGGGATACATTTATCTCTGTTTCTACATTTCTCATGAGTACTCTATTTTTCCTAAACTGAACAAGATGGGGCTAACTAGTCGATTCTTCACTCCTGATTCGTGCGATTTCCTTAATGTGAAAACATAGTTTAAAATGGTAATGCGCTCTGCATGTGCTCGTGCCGTTCTCTGAGCGGCTTGAGCAGTTCTGGACTTTTTAGATGTAATTCTGCGTGTCGACTGGATTATAGAAATTCTCCACGAAAACTTTCGGAACAAAGCTTACTCAGCGTTTCCCAAACTGAAGAGAACGGTCCGGTGCCCAACTCATGAGAAAATTTCAAATTCCCGTAAATTAGTTTCTCAATATTAAATCGACAAAATATTGGGTGACTCATTTTCCATTTATTCAACCATTTCGTTTAAAATATACGTAATTCACTGAAAGTAAAATGAGTAATTAAAAAGTCACCACGTAACTTTTCCAATTAATTTGATTTTTTTAAACGGTAGTTTTACCCTTTCTGTTCACTGGTCCGCAGTGGAAAACAGTTTGAGAAAGACTGTCCTCCCCATTTCAGATCTCGATCGTTGCCTGTGATTGAAGAAATACCTCTCTTCTTCTTCTTTTTCTTCTTCTTCTTCTTCTTCTTCTTCTTCTTCTTCTTCTTCTTCTTCCCTTTTCTCTTTCTCCCTCTCTCTCCCTCTCTCCTCTCCTCTTCTCTTTTCACTCTCTTTCCTCTTCACTTCTCTTTCTCTTTCTGTTTCTGTCTGCCTACCTATTTATTACATAGTTCTCTACCTTCTTATTGTCTATCTCTCTTCTCTTTCTTCTCTTTATATTCTCTTAATGTTATTGTTGTAATATTCCTTCTTTTATATTTCGTACTACATTTTTCCCTCTTATCTCGCTATTTTCTTTCTCCTTTCCCCACATCTCTCTGGTCTCCTTTCTCTTTCGTATAAGAAATAAAGATTTCTTTATTTTTTCTCTTATTAATTTCCTCTCTCCCTCTCTCTTTCTCTCTCTCTCTCTATCTATCTATCTATCTCCTCTTTCCTCTCTTAGTTCTCATTCTTTCCTTTGACTTACTTTATTTACGAAAGCTGTATCCTTCACTTTCTCTCCTTTCTCTCTCTCTCTCTCTCTCTCTCTCTCTCTCTCTCTCTTCTCTCTCTTCTCTCTCTTCTCTCTCTTCTCTCTCTTCTCTCTCATCTCTCTCTTCTCTCTCCTCTCTCTCCTCTCTCTCATCTCTCTCCTCTCTCTCTCATCTCTCTCCTCTCTCTCATCTCTCTCCTCTCTCTCTTCTCTCTCCTCTCTCCTCTCTCTCCTCTCTCCTCATAACTAACCCCTTCTCTCTCTAATGCTGCATTTCTCTCTCTTTCTCTCTGGAACTGGTACTCCGTAAGCGACGACCGCCTGCTGTCTCGATGTTTTCTACCACAAGGCGCCGGGCCTGCTCCAGTGCGCATTTTATGTGTGGCCTTTTTATTACACTTAAAGCAAGACGTATTTGAATGCTTGTTGAACGAGAAAGATTTGTTGAAAGTAATACGACAAAACATATTACGCTGAATGTTATAACTGTAGTTAGACATATCTATTCTTAGCGAGTTAAGAGTTGTATGAATAAACTATGGTGCTGTTTAACACGCTTCTGGTTGATTTTTTGACTTGACTCCTGTCTTTATTCCTTTCCTCCCTTATTAATCCTTCTTGATCGTACTAACATTATTCTTATACTTGTTTTATGCCTGGTAAGTTAGTTTATACAAACTTGACACAATTTCGATTTTGAAAATTTTCAAACAAATTATGCATTGAAAAGTTTCAACCAATTATTGTGCTCATATTATTTTTCACTGGAAGACCTTTACCTTAAATGAAAATAATGTTATTAAAAATACACCATA